AAAACCCCAAAGTTTTTTTTATCTGCGGTTTCCATTCAAAGGCTGTGGGTCACCAAGGGAGGAACCCCCTTGAAGGTAAATCATAGTATAGTATCAGTTTTAATATATTATTTTATTGTATTAGATATTATATTCTGTTATTAGTTTTAATATATTACTAAATATTATTCTATTATATTCTATATTATTAATTTTATTATATAATTATATAAAATTTGCATATATATATATATATATATCTATACACACACACACCTGAGTTACAATCGATTGCATGGAGCGCCATTACCTTCCTGCCGAGGTGGTACCTACTGATCTACTCACACTTGCATATTTTCAAACTGCTAGGTTGTGAGAAGCTGGGGCTAACAGCAGGAGTTCACTTTGTCCGCATGTTCAGCAGCTCAGCAGTTTAACCCGCTGTGCTACTGTGGCACCATGAGAGGAATCTTACATTAGATATTATTAATATCTGTATTATATTATTATATAATATCAGCTTTAATATATTATTTTATTACGATATCATATTATATATTATTGCTTTTCCTATATTAATTTATTATTATTTAAAATTAAATTAATAATTTATGGCATGGATAGAGTTGTTTCGGGTAACTCATTGTCATAATAATTTTGTTAAAATTACTTCTTTGAAGTGATATTGGAGCTTTTTAAAAAACCGGAAGTCCCTTTGCCCTTCTGACGCTTTTTCCGCCATTTCTGTTACGACTCAGGAAGTTAGTTGGAAATTATTCAGCTTTTCCCCACTTCCGGTCCCTGGCCTCGGCTCAAGCCAGAGAAGCCAGTTTTAAACCAGAGAAGGAATTTCCCCCGCTTGCTTTTACCCGCTTCTGGAGTAAAACAACTACTTTCAAAGTAAAGACCACCCAATGAAACAGGAAATAACACTTTAAAACCATTAACTAAAGGATTCAGAAGTTTTGGAAGTTTTGAAAAGTTTTGAATTTTTTTGTGAAAATCAGAATTGACTTTAAAATTGAACCACCCTACATCTGAAATGAGTTTTGAACCATTTTTGGATCAACCAAGCCTATATAGTAAAACGATATTTCTACCCTGCCTTTCTCAAACCCAAAGGTGACTCAAGGCGGCTTACAACCAGGCAGCAATTTGATGCCTAACAATACACAATGAACTGAATTAAAAATAAAACCTAAAACCAATGCCTTCATTGATGGTCTCATTGTTCACAAATCGTCGTCTGAACCATTCCAATGTTTGCTTTCATCTAATTCTGTATTTGATTGTTGCATTAGATTCCAAAGGCTTATTCAAATAGCCATGTTTTCACTTTTTTATGGAAGGTCAGTATCCCTGGGGAAGGCGTTCCACAGCCGAGGGGCCACCAGTGAGGAGGCTCTGACTCTCGTCTCTGTCAGTCACACCTGCGAAGTAGGCGGGACCGAGAGCAGGGCCTCCCCAGGCACACATACACAGGCATACATACATATAGGGTGTCCCTGACTTGCAAATGACTCCTAGTTAAGAACAATGGGACTTGCAATGACTAGGTACCTATATATTACTTTTAAATATGAATTTTCTAGAGATTTCCATGTACCTGTATATCTGTATGTATACATTATTCTTATATAAGAAGTTTCCCTCACTTGTTTGCAAGTCTCTGCAAATCCTAGACATAGATATCAATAGATATGGAGGTGTGTGTGTGTGTGTGTGTGTGTGTGTGTGTGTATATATATATATATATATATATATATAATATTTAATATATGAATTTTCCTTGCACATGTTTGCAAGTCTTTGCAAATTCTATATAGATTTATATGAATATAAATATATAGGGCTTGCAAATATTACAGGTGGAAGTGCACACAAATATATAAAGACATGTCTCGATAGAGATGAATATATACAGGGCTTGCAAATATTTCACGGGAAATACACACACACATACAAGGGCATATTCAAAAGCATTGAACCTCCTGGTGCATCAATTAATGCAATTTTATTGGAATCTATTTTTATTTTCTAACTACGGTTCCTACCGTCCCAAAAAGTGGTGATCAGGCCCCTTCAGCTGAGGATTTTCAGAGCTATTTTGCAGACAAGATCTCACTACTTCGCCGGGACCTCCCCACCACAATTGATACCATGAGAGAACTTGAGACTCCATGGCCATTTGCTGGGTCTGTCCTCGACCGGTTCATCCCGCTGGACGCAGAGGGCTCATAGCTGCAGCTAGACCGACCACTTGCTCCCTCGATCCGTGTCCCTCTTCGTTGGTGAAATCCTGCTTGGAGGGATTACGTGACCCTCTGTTGAAGATTATAAACAGCTCTCTTGAGCAAGGAGTTTTTCCAGAGGGTTTAAAAGAGGCAGTGGTCTCTCCCCTGCTAAAGAAACCAGACTTAGATTGTTCGGTTCCCTCCAGTTACCTCCCAGTTTCGAGTCTCTTGTTCCTGGGCAAGGTGATTGAGAGGGCAGCAGCGGAGCAGTTGCAGCAATTCCTAGACGACACAGCCGGACTAGATCCCTTCCAGACCGGCATCCGTGCGGGGCACAGGACAGAGACTGTGCTGGTCTCCATCACGGATCACCTTCGATGCCAGCTTGACCAGGGCGGGTCAGCGCTGCTTGTGTTATTGGATCTCACAGCAGCATTTGACACAGTCGACCACAATCTTTTGACCCACCGCCTTGCTGCTGTTGGAGTCAGGGGGACAGCTTTAAACTGCCTGTCCTCCTTTCTTCACAACCGTGGACAGCGAATGGAGAGGGGAGGCCTGGTCTCCGAGAGGTCCCCTCTATCTTGTGGGGTTCCTCAGGGGGCCATTCTCTCCCCTCTGTTGTTTAACATTCATATGCGACCACTTGCTCAGCTGGTTCTGGGCTTGAGTGTTACCAGTATGCTGATGACACTCAGCTRGTGCTGAAGATGGAAGGCCGACCAGACTCTGTACCCGATTRTTTCCATCAGTGCCTYGAGGCCGTTACTGGATGGCTGCRTGCCAGCAGGTTGAGGGTGAATCCAGCAAAGACGGAGATCCTATGGCTGGGTCGACCGGGCAGTGGGGACATCCAGCTGCCTACCCTGGATGGCGAGGAGGCGCTGCTTGTGTTATTGGATCTCAAAGCAGCATTTGACACAGTCAACCACAATCTTTTGACCCACCGCCTTGCTGTTGCTGGAGTCAGGAGGACAGTCTTCACAACCGTGGACAGCGAGTGGAAAGGGGAGGCCTGGTCTCTGAGAAGTCCCCTCTATCTTGTGGGGTTCCTCAGGAGGCCATTCTCTCCCCTCTGTTGTTTAGCATCTATATACGACCACTTGCTCAGCTGGTTCTAGGTTTTGGGCTTGAGTGTTATCAGTACGCCGATGACACTCAGCTGGTGCTGAAGATGGAAGGCTGACCGGACTCTGTCCCCGATTGTTTCCATCAGTGCCTCGAGGCCGTTACTGGATGGCTGCGTGCCAGCAGGTTGAGGGTGAATCCAGCAAAGACGGAGATCCTATGGCTGGGCCAACCGGGCAGTGGGGATATCCAGCTGCCTACCCTGGATGGCGAGGCGCTACACCCATAATMATTGGTAAAGAGCCTGGGAGTTTTTTTGGACCCTCTGCTGACGATGGAGGCCCATGTCTGCGCCGTTAGCAGAACCGCCTTTTTTCATCTGCGGCAGGCTAGACGGCTGGCCCCCTTCCCTGTCCAGGAACGACCTAGCTACGGTGATCCAGGCTACGGTCATCTCAAGACTGGACTACTGTAACGTCCTCTACACTGGCCTTCCTCTGTCGGTGATCCGGAAGCCCAAGTTGGTACAAAATGCAGCTGCTCGGCTTCTTGCGGGAATTCCGATGAGATGTCACATAACCCCAATCTTACTACAGCTGCATTGGTTACCAATTGAGCACCAGATCACTTTCAAAGTGATGGTACTTGCCTTTAAGGCCTTGCATGGTCTGGGGCCGATGTACCTAAGGGACCGCCTCACCCCCTACCAACCCCAGAGATCCCTCTGTTCTGAGGAACAAGATTTTTTGGAAATTCCCAATGTCAAGACCTTGTGTATAACAGCAACCAGACGCAGAGCCTTTACAGCAGTGGCACCATCACTCTGGAATACTCTGCCACCTAAAGTCCATGCCTTGCAGGACTTATCAGCTTTCCGCAGGGCATGTAAGACATATGTGTTTCGACAGGCCTTAGATCTTTGATATTGCTGTTTTTAAATTGTTTTAAATTGTGTTAGATTTTAGCCTGTTCTTGTAAGCCGCTCCAAGCCCCAGGGGAGTGGCGGCATATAAGTCCGAATAATAAATAAATAAATAAAATTTTGAAATTGACCTGTAGTGGCTGCATTTCCCACCCTCAGATTATAATCAAGCCAGTAAGTTTTCCCTTTTTTTGGTGGTAAAATTAGGTGCCATGGCGTATATTCAGGTCAGCTTATACTCAAGCATATACGGTGTGTATACACACAGCCCCTCCCCAAGCTATAAACGTACTGGCGTACAAACTACTCCTAGTTAAGAACACAGGGGCTGAGACCACAGGATGTCCAAAGCACTGGAGGGAGGGCCTGGATTAATGCCAGGAGAGTGGTGTTGGCCCCGCCCCTTTCTCCTTCTCAGCCAACTGCACAGAGACAGAGCCCCAGAAATCCCACCCCTAATCTCTAGAGATGTGCAATTCGGCCAAAGGCATGCCACTTCGGGGTCCATTGTTGGCTGATCCCCCATTGCATTTATTGGGAAGTTACTTGAATGGGGAGGGGTTTTGTCATTTTCATTCGGCAGAGATTCGGCCCATCTGCTACAACGGGAAACTTTAAAGGCTCAACCCTCAGCCATTTTAAGGCCTGTCCGCATGAAACCAACCTCAGTTGTAGAGCCCATTTCCAACTGCAGGCCCACCAAGTTTGAAAACAATTCACCAATCTACTGTTTTTTAAGAATTATTTTAAGTTTAAACCATAACATTTTTTTAAAAAAGACAAAACACAAGAGAGGGTTCTGGGAATTGTAGTCGTTGGTTGTGCCCATTCTCAGCCAATCAGAGCATGGACACCACCTGGCTTTTTATTGGCTGGGAAACCCACAGAGAAAAAAACCCAACTCTCATCATGCTCCTAGAGGAACTTTTCAATGCCCGCCCTATGCAAATGCTGCTGGGAAAGCGAGTTCCCAGCAGGGCCCTCCCTGGAGGGAGGAGGAGGGAACTTTCCAAGAAGGGAGGAGGAGGACACGGCATGCCCCTGCCTCAGGTACATTGCAGACTTAACTCCTTCCTCTCCAGAACCAATACAATCTGGCTCTCTTGATCTGTTTTGCTGGACTTCTTGTCTCACTCCTCCCCATTCCATTTTCGGATATCATATAAAACAGCCCACCAAAAACTACAAATCATTTTTGTTAAAACTAATTCGGGCCCAAGTCTACTAAGCCCTGCCGATCCGGCTGGGCAGCTGTGAGAGGGACTCGAGTAGGTGTCCACGGGGCACTTCGGCTGGTGGTGTCCCAGTCCCAGCGAGCAGGAAGGCGTGCATCCCGGCCTGGCGGGCAGCCCGATAGTCGTGCTCGTAGTCATCCCCCACATGGGCAGCCAAGCCTGGGTCAGCTCCGGAGAGGCGCAGGGCTTCCAGAAATATCCGCGGGTCAGGCTTGGCAAAGCCGGCCTCCTCCGCGTTGAGCACCCAAGAGAAGTGTCCCCTGAGGCCGCAGTTGTGAAGGAGCTCTGCCAGGCGGCGGTCAAAGTTGGAGACGGCTGCCATGGGGAGGCCAGCTTCCTGCAGCCGGCGCAGGGTCTCCAGGGCACCCGGGAGTGGCTCCCAGGACTCCGCCCGGCTGTAGTCTCGGTAGAGCTGCTCCGCCAGAGTGCCCAGCAGGCCAGAATCCACCTCCTGGGCAAGGCCGCAACGGCGGAAGGTGTCATGCACCAGGCCCAGCCACCACTCCTCACAGCCCAGGCCCTGCGCCCGGCCGTAGTTCGGGAAGCGCTGGCTGCGCTCCCGGTGCGCCTGGTGGAAAGCAGCCTCCATTGCCCGGGGAGATACCTCCAGGCCCCAGGAGCGCACCGCAGCCGAGTAGCACTCGCCCACTGGGAGACGCAGCCGCAACAGCGTGTCCTTCACATCCCACGTCAGCAGCCGCAACAGTAGCATGGCCTGCAAGGGAAGCAGGAGGGGATGGGTGGGATGGACGGTAATAGAAGGGAAGGGGATAAGAGGGAATAGGAAGAGAAGAGAAGGGAATAGGAGGGTAGGACAGAAGAGAAGAGATTGGAACAGAATAGAATGAAAGAAAAGGGGATAGGAATAGAAGGAAAAGAATTGAATATAATACTACTACTAATAATATATTATAAATATATATTTATATTACATGAAATATTACTAATAATATTACAATAGAATGGTATAGTACAATATAGTAATATATAATACTGATATTGTACTATGCTAATAATGTAATATATTTTATGTATATATATCTTGTAAGCCATTCTAAGTACCCTTCGGGGTGAGAAGGGCGGCATATAAATGTCATAAATAAATAAGGCAATAGTAGGGAATGCAATAGAAATAGATGGAATAGAAGAGAATAGGAGGAAATAGAACAGAATATAATGGAATAGAAATAGAATGGGGTAGGAGGGAATAGAAAGGCAAAGGAATAGAAGGGCATAAAATAGAATAAGAATAGAAAGGAATGGAGAGAATAGAAATGAATAGATGGAATAGAATGAAATAGCAATAGAAGGAATGGAATGGAATGGAATAGCAAGAGAAGAAACAGAATGGAAGGGAATAGAAGGGAATAGTCCCCTCAGGGAGAGAGAGGGCGAGTTATAAATTAAGTAGTATTGTTGTTGTTATTATTATTAGTAATATAAGGGTATAGGGATAGAAAATGGAACAGGAAAAAGGTAGAAAAAGGGAATAAAAAGAACAGAGTGGAATAGAATGGGAATAGAATGGGAATAGAAACAGAGTGGATTGGAAGGGAACAGAAGGGAAGAAGGGCACCACAAGGTCAAGGGAGGTCAAGACTCACATTATTATACTATATTATTATTATTAATAATAATAATTATATATATATAATCATGATGATGATGATGATTCTCCCCAGAGGCCCCTTTGGATCTCAGCCAACCTTTGGAAGCAGGTGAAGTGTCCCTTCCTTCGGCTGCTGTCCTGGCCACTCACTCATGCCAGAGGCTGCCTTAATAACCCCTGCTTTGGTTAGTTATTGACTAATCAAGCAAACAAAGACAGCAGGAAGAATTAGAATGGTAACATTTTGCCTTTCAGTGCAACTCATCTGGCCAAAGGGGATCGATTATACCTGCCAGAGGAAGGTAAAAAGGCCAAGGTTTCCCCTTGATGTTAACCCTAGTTGTGTCAGACTCTGGGACTTGGGTGCTCATCTCCATTTGTAAGCCAAAGAGTCGGACATGTCCGTAGGTGCCTCCAAGGTCATGTGGCCACTGGCACGACTTCTGTTATGTACCCGCAGAAGCGGTACCTATTGATCTTTCGGTCAGCAAGTTCAGCAGCTATGGTTTAACCCGCTGCGCCACCAGAGGATGTTTGTAACTTGGGGACAACCTATATGTATGTAACTTGGGGACAACATAATAATAATATAATATATAATGTAATACAATATAATATAATAGAATCCTAGAATCCTGGAGTTGGAAGAGACCTGGTGGGCCAGGTCCAATCCAGTCCAACCCCATTCTGCCAAGAAGCAGGACAATTGCATTCAAAGCCCCCTCAAAAGATGGGCATCCAGCCTCTGCTTAAAAGCTTCCAAAGAAGCAGCCACCGCCACATTCCCTCCGGGACAGAGAGTTCCACTGCTGAACAGCTCTCACAGTCAGGAAGTTCTTCCTAATGTTTAGGTGGAATCTCCTTTCTTGTAGTTTGAAGCCATTGCTCCACTGCATCCTAGTGTCCAGGGCACCAGAAAACAAGCTTGCTCCCTCCTCCTCCCTATAATTTCCCCTCACATATTTATACATGGCCCTCATCATGTCTCCTCTCAGCCTTCTCTTCTTCAGGCTAAACATGCCCAAGCTCTTTAAGCCGCTCCTCATAGGGCTTGTTCTCCAGACCCTTGATTATTTTAGTTGCCCTCCTCTGGACACATTCCAGCTTAGAGACAATATCTCTCTTCAACTGTGGTGAAGAGAGATAATATAATATAATATTATAATATAATAAAACAATATACTATAATGACACTAAGATATACTACACTACTAATATATAATAATACAAATAATGCTAATAATATAAACACATAAAAATATAGTAATGCAAACAATATACCAATAATAATATATTGCATTATAAAACAATGCAATATAATAATGCTAATAATATAATGTATAATACTAATAATACTAATAACGTAATATAATCTGCCATCAGAGAAAAAAGTCACTTGCAATTCAGATGTTTGTAACTTGGGGACAGACTATATGTATGTGTGTATATATAATAATATAATATATAATTATTACAATTATTACAATATATTAATATATAATATAATATTATTATATTATATATTAATATATTGTAATAATTATATATTTTATTATATCCCCCTCGATAGACTGTCACCTTGTCGTGGTGAGGGGGCAGCAATGGCTCCCAAAGTGACCCATTTAAGGTGGAATCGGGTGTCAAACAGGGATGTGTTATTGCCCCAACTCTATTCTCCATCTTCATTGCTATGATACTTCACCTTGTTGATGGGAAGATTCCCACCGGAGTGGAAATCATCTATCGGACAGATGGCAAGCTGTTTAACCTCAGCAGACTGAAAGACAAAACCAAGGTTACAACAACATCTGTTATAGAACTCCAGTATGCTGATGACAATGTCGTCTGTGCGCATTCAGAAGAAGATCTACAAGCCACTCTAAACACCTTCGCAGAAGCATACACGAAGCTTGGCCTGTCACTGAACATCGAGAAAACCAAAGTGCTGTTCCAGCAGTCACCAGCCATCCCCTCCCCAATGCCAGAGATACAGCTTAATGGTGTAACATTAGAAAATGTTGACCATTTCCGCTACCTTGGCAGCCACCTCTCCACCAAAGTCAACATAGACACCGAAATACAACACCGCCTGAGCTCTGCGAGTGCAGCATTTTCCCGAATGAAGCAGAGAGTGTTTGAGGACCGGGACATCCGTAGGGATACCAAGGTGCTTGTCTATAAAGCTATTGTCCTCCCAACCCTGCTATATGCCTGTGAGACGTGGACTGTCTACAGACGTCACATGCAACTCCTGGAACGATTCCATCAGCGCTGCCTCCGGAAAATCCTGCAAATCTCTTGGGAAGACAAGCGTACAAACGTCACCGTGCTGGAAGAAGCAAAGACCACCTCTGCCATCAACTCTGCTGGGCCGGCCACGTTGTCCGGATGCCTGACCACTGTCTCCCAAAGCAGTTGCTCCTCTCTGAACTTAAGAACGGAAAACAGAACGCTGGTGGACAGGAAAAGAGATTTAAAGATGGGCTCAAAGCCAACCTTAAAATCTGTGGCATAGACACTGAGAACTGGGAAGCCCTGGCCCTTGACCGCTCCAGCTGGAGGTCAGCTGTGACCAGCAGTGCTACAGAATTTGAGAAGGCACAAGTGGAGGGTGAAAGAGAGAAATGTGCCAGGAGGAAGGCGCGTCAAGCCAACCCCAACCGGGACCGCCTTCCACCTGGAAACCAATGCCCACACTGTGGGAGAAGATGCGGGTCAAGAATAGGGCTCCACAGCCACCTACGAATCCACAAGGAAACGCATCATGGAAGACCATCTTACTCGTCTAACGAGGGATCGCCTAAGTAAGTAAGATATATATATATATATATATATATATATATATTATTACTTTTATTATAGTATGATATTGGTTTATTAACCAATATTATACTATAATAAAATACTATATATATATATATATATATATAACGAGTAATGCTAATACAAAAACATAAAAATATAATGTAAATATTATGCCAATAACAATATTTTATATAATAAAACAATGCAGTATAATAATGCTAATAATACAATGTATAATAAAAATACTACTAATAACGTAATGTAATTCAGTAATGAGAGAGTACAAGATTTCTTCCTTTTCAGCCCACGAGCTCTCCTGCCGCCCAGTCCCTTCCTCGGCCTGTTGTTAGGGCAACTCTGGCGGGTCTTCCTGGCGGGGAAAGGCAAGGCGGCAGGAGGGCGCGCGGGGCCCGCTTGGGCGCGAACTCTCCCTCAGGGCAGAAGCCTCGGAGGGCAGCCTCACCTCGAGGGCCAGCCAGGCGGAGGAAGGGCGCCCGCCCACCTCCCTCCCTCCTTCCTTCCTTCCTTCCTTCCTTGGCGGCCAGGCAGCGACATCTAGCGGCCGACAGAAGAGGCGGGGAGAATCCACTTCCGCTTTGCCGAGACGTCCTTCACAGATTTCTCTCGAGCGTCATTTCCGGCGAGTGCCTTTGAAAAACGGGCGGAGAACAGCACTCCCACTTCGCCTTCTCGATGGCGTCACTTCCGGCGGAGCTGCACCTGCGCCCGGGCGGGAGCATGGCCCCGTGGGCGGCGGCGGGGGCGGCGTGGGCGGCGCTGGCGGGCCTGCTCTGGGCCTCCGTCCACCAGGTCCACGAGGGGCACGTGGCCGTGTACTTCCGGTGAGCAGCCTCTTCGCCGCCGCCGCCGCCACGGGGAGGGGGAGAAGGGAGGAGGAGGAGGAGGGGGCCCGGAAGTGCAGGCTCTTTGACGTCACACCCTTCCTCTTTTCTACCATCTACAGAGATACTCGCTGGAACACCTCGGCAAGTGAGAGTCAAGTGAGAGGCTCAAACCTAGAACCTCAACCAATGGCTGATACCAAATGAGAGACTCCCCCCTGGGCACACAGAGGACTGGGCGACTTGGAAGGCGCTGAACAGACTGCGCTCTGGCACCACGAGATGCAGAGACAACCTTAAGAGCCATAGCAAACTACTGGAAGCGAGAGCGAGCTTGTGCTGGAGCTCGCTCCGAAGCCCCGCCTTTTTTCCCCCGAGGCTGCTCTCTCTCTTGCTAGTGTGCCTGTTTTCCCTTGCTAGGGAAGCGATGCGAGTGTACTCTCGCAGTTGGCAGAATTCAACTGTGAGCGTACGCTCGCATCCCTGCCCTCTGCAATGGAAAACAGGCACGCTAGCAAGAGAGAGAGCAGCCTCGGGGGGGAAAAAGGCGGGGCTTCGGAGCAAGCCCGAGCACAAGCTTCCTGTAGTTTGCTGCGGCACGAGCGTATGCTCGCAACTCTGCCCTAGCAAAGGGAAAGAGGCGGAGCATCGCTCGTGTAATATAATTGACTGGCTGCCCTGACACGAAATAAATAAATAAAAAACCCTACGCCTGGAGACTGGCTCCTTGAGAGTTGAGGCCAGGGTGTGGGTGGTAATATTGAATTCCTGGCTCAGACTATCCCTCTCTCCACTGGGCCTTGCACCTCTCATTATGAAGGACAACTTTCAATCCAATTGGCAAAGGGAGATACTAGGCCAATTTGGGGTTGGATGTCCTCTAATCCCTCATCCACTCCATCTTGCTGAGATTGAAGATTTTTATTTGTCGTGTCAGAGCAACCAGTCCATTATATTACATTTCTAACAGAACAAAGCAAACAAACAGAAAAATACAAAACTTGTGAGTTTGGTAGTTGGTTAAATGTCCTTTGACCAGTATCTGGCCACTTGGAGTGCCTCTGGTGTTGCCGCAAGAAGGTCCTCCCTTGTGCATGTGGCAGGGCTCAGGTTGCATTGCAGCAGGTGGTCAGTGGTTTGCTCTTCTCCACACTCGCATGTCGTGGATTCCACTTTGTGGCCCCATTTCTTAAGGTTGGCTCTGCATCTCGTGGTGCCAGAGCGCAGTCTGTTCAGCGCCTTCCAAATTGCCCAGTCTTCTGTGTGCCCGGGGGGAGTCTCTCATTTGGTATCAGCCATTGGTTGAGGTTCTGGGTTTGAGCCTGCCACTTTTGGACTCTCGCTTGCTGAGGTGTTCCAGCGAGTGTCTCTGTAGATCTTAGAAAACTATTTCTAGATGTAAGTCGTTGACATGCTGGCTGATACCCAAACAGGGGATGAGCTGGAGATGTCTCTGCCTTGGTCCTTTCACTATTGGCTGCTACTTCCCGGTCGGATGTCAGGTGGTGCAATACCGGCTAAGCAGTGTAATTTCTCCAGTGGTGTAGGGCGCAGACACCCCGTGATAATGCGGCATGTCTCATTAAGAGCCACATCCACTGTTTTAGCGTGGTGAGATGTGTTCCACACTGGGCATGCATACCCAGCAGCAGAGTAGCATAGCGCAAGGGCAGATGTCTTCACTGTGTCTGGTTGTGATCCCCAGGTTGTGCCAATCAGCTTTTGTATGATATTGTTTCTAGCACCCACTTTTTGCTTGATGTTCAGGCAGTGCTTCTTGTAGGTAAGAGCACGGTCCAGAGTGACTCCCAGGTATTTGGGTGCGCTGCAATGCTCCAGTGGGATTCCTTCCCAGGTGATCTTCAGAGCTCGGGATGCTTCTCTGTTCTTGAGATGAAAGGCACATGTCTGTGTTTTAGATGGGTTAGGGATCAGTTGGTTTTCCCTGTAATAGGCAGTGAGAGCACCTAGAGCTTCGGAGAGCTTCTGTTCTACCACCTCAAAGCTCCCTGCTTGAGCAGTAATGGCACGATCATCAGCATAGATGAAACTCTCTGTCCCTTCTGGCAGTGGCTGGTCATTTGTGTAGATGTTGAACATGGATGGAGCAAGCACACTCCCCTGAGGCAGGCCGTTCTTCTGTTTCCGCCATCTGCTTCTCTGGCCCTGGAACTCAACAAAAAAGCTCCTGTTTTGTAGCAGGTTTCCTATGAGGCGGGTGAGGTGGTCGTCTTTGTGATATTATACATTTTTCTCAGGAGGAGGCGGTGGTTCGCAGTATCATAGGCTGCTGACAGGTCTATGAAGACAGCTCCTGTGATCTGCTGCCTTTCAAAGCCATCTTCTATGTGCTGAGTCAGGTTCAGCACTTGCGATGTGCAGCTTTTGCCTTTTCTGAAGCCAGCTTGCTGTGGGATCAGACATGGGTCTATTTTTTCCATAATTCTATGCAAAATAAGTCTCTCCAGAACTTTGTAGAGGTGGCACAACAGGGAGAGTAAACAACGAATAATAGACATTGAGCGCCAAACAGACCTATCTAGTGCCCCATTCTTTATTACTGGTGCAGACAGCAGGGACTGTACCTCCCCTATGGAATATCTTACCGTGTTGGAGGTAGCCAGCCACCGGAGAGCCTTCACCTTGGCCCGATGCCATGCGCTTCCTTCCGCCGTACTGGAAGGTCGTTACCAGAAAACCCCATATTCTGAGAGGCTATGTCCCTGTCTCAGGTCACATAGAAACAACAGAGCGCGTGCTTTTGCAGTGCCTGACTTATAGAGACATTCGATCTCATCTCATCTTACCATGGACAATTAAATATCCAGGACGCTCTGGACAATTCTATGTAGATCTGCTGCTCTCAGACACAAACTCGGCTGTGACGTACAACGTCGCTAAGTTCTGCACGGCTGCAATTAAAATTCGGCGGACAATGATTGAGGGTTAAAAAACCTAAGCTTCTCCTGGAATATAGATGGGAAATCAGATATAGACTAATATTTATAGGGTTGGATATTCCCCCCCTTCCCGGTGCCATCCTCACTATCTCTCTTTAGACTGCGTCGGATGATCTTGTGGGTTGAGTTAAGTTTTAATAACTTCTTGCATTGGTTTTTAGCTTAGATTTCAAAATTTGTTGGAGTTTGAAGTCTATAACCTTTTGGGTTTGATGTGAATGTACGGGACTGGGTCCCAATATTGTGATCTGGATTTGTATATACACTTTGTGCTGGTCATGGACTGTAATAAAGTTTTGATTGATTGATTGATTGATTGATTGACCCTTCCTCTCCCCCCTCCCTCTCTCCCCTCAGGGGCGGGGCGCTGCTGCCCTCGCTGAGCGGGCCGGGCTTCCACATCATGCTCCCTTTCGTCACTTCCTTCCACGCCGTCCAGGTAGGAGCCACGCCCTCTTGTGACGCAGAAGCCCCTCCCATTTCGTCTCCTTTGACAACAGGGAGTATTAAGGGGAGGGGGCGGGGCTAGTAGGTGCTCCTCCCCTTGGTCTCTCTTGACAGATCGTGGGAAGTGGTTAGGAGGCGGGGCTAATAGAAGCCCCCCCCCCTTTGTTTCCCTTGACCACAGCTTGAAACTGGAAGCAAAGAGGGGCGGGGCTAGTAGAAGCTCCTCCTCCTTGGTTTCCCTTGACAAGGACCACTTCTTGAACGATGGGAAGGGGGCGGGGCGGGTAGTAATCCCTCTCCTTTGTCTCCCTTGACGACAGCTTGAATAAGCAGAAGCGAAGAGGGGGCGGGGCTAGTAGAAGCCCCTCCCCCTTTGACTCCCTTGATGACAGGGAGGGCAGAATCCCAGAATGCCGGAGTCATCCAGCCCACCTCCATTCTACCACGAGGCAGGGAATTAGCCTTCCAAGAAAGGAGGGGGCGGGGTCAGCATAGGCCCCGCCCCCTTTGACTCCCTTGACAAGAGAGCTCTCCTCCTTCTTCTCCCTTCAGACGACACTGCAAACGGACGAGGTGAAGAACGTGCCTTGCGGGACCAGGTACGCTGAATCACATCCTTCCTGCTGCGAACAGGCTTCTGGGTGAATGGAGGTCATGTATTTCCTCCACCACAAACATCCCAGGGTTCCTTTCTCTCTCCCCACTGGTGTGGAATTTGCATGACCCCGCCCACTGCCTCTCCCTTAACCCTTTGGAAGGAGGATGGGCCTTGCAGTGCCTTCACGCACTTCCTGAGACCACGGCGACCTCCACAAATGACAGACATGGACCAAACATAGCACACAGACCCTCCCATGACCCACAGAACGTAGGGGACGGAGTTTGGGGGACTGACCCACCCACGGGGGACTTGTAGTTCACTTGCATCCACAGAGCACTGAACCCAGCCGACGACGGACCTGGTCCAAACTTGGAACACAGGGCCAACTGTGCATACTCACGAGGTTGGGGTACGATTGACCTGGGAGTTGTAGTTCACCCTTACCCAGAGAGTACTGAACCCAGCCAATAAATTCCCTTTTGAAATAACCTGGGCATTGCTGGGTCCCCAAGCTACTAATATATATAATACTAATATAACAATAATTAATATAATAATACTAATGTAAGAGTCCTCCTTCCTGTTGTTTCAGCCCTGTTGTTCTAAACTAGGAGTCGTTTGTAAGTTGGATGTTTGTAACTTGGGGACAGCCTGTATATATGTGAAAAAATAATATAATATGAATAATATATAATATTATATAGCAATAATATAATATTGTGTGTGTGTATAAAGAGAGAGAGAGAGTATAGGACCCCTTCCACCAGCACCAATTGCCATTCTGGGCCAGAGTGAAGGGCGGGGGGGGGGGGGAGGCAGGGGACAGTTCCACCTTGTCTCTTGTGCTATGCTAACAATATAACATAGTGTAATGTAATATATTGTATATACATAAAATTTTATAATATTACAACATAATACAATATACTACTAATAATAATATTATTGGTTCTCTTGGACATCTTAGCGGCTTTCGATACCATCGATCATGGTATCCTTCTGGGTCGACTCTCTGGGATGGGTCTTGGGGGCACGGTTCTGTCGTGGCTCCGATCCTTCCTGGAGGGTCGATCCCAGATGGTGAAGCTGGGAGATGCCTGCTCGGACACCTGGCCTTTGACCTGTGGGGTCCCGCAAGGCTCTATTTTGTCTCCCATGCTCTTTAACATCTACATGAAACCGCTGGGAGAGGTCATCTGGAGTTTTGGAGTTAGGTGCCACCTCTATGCAGATGACACACAACTCTGTTACTCATTTCCACCCAACTCCAAGGAGGCCTCCCGGGTCCTGGACCGCTGTGTCTATCTGGATGAGGAGGAACAGGCTGAAGATCAATCCTGACAAGACAGAGGTGCTCCTGTTCGATTGCAAACCTGACCAGGGTATAGGGTGGCAACCTGTGTTGGACGGGGTTGCACTCCCCCTGAAGCCACAGTTCCGCAGTTTGGGAGTCCTCTTGGATTCATTGCTTACGCTTGAGGCTCAGGCGTCGGCGGTGTCCGGGAGGGCTTTTGCACAATTAAGACTTGTGCGCCAACTGTGACCGTACCTCGCAAAGGCTGATCTGGCCGGGGTGGTCCATGCCTTGGTCACCTCTTGATTGGACTACTGTAAAGTGCTCTACATGAGGCTGCCCTTGAAAACGGCTCAGAAATTCCAGCTGGTCCAACGGGCGGCGGCCAGGATGTTAACTGGTGCTCCTTACAGAGAGAGGTCAACCCTCCTGTTCAAGGAGCTCCACTGGCTGCCGTTTATTTTCCAAGCCCAATTCAAGGTGCAGGTGCTTACCTACAAAGCCCTAAACGGTTTGGGACCATCCTACCTGCGTGACCGCATCTCCGTTTATGAACCCACGCGCTCACTTCGTTCATCCGGAGAGGCCCTGCTTGTGATTCCGCCTGCATCGCAGGCGCGTTTGGTGGGGACGTGAGACAGGGCCTTTTCTGTGGTGGCCCCCCGACTCTGGAACACCCTCCCCAAAGACATTAGACAGGCCCCTACATTGGCAGTCTTTAGGAAGAACTTGAAGACATGGCTATTCCTTTCGAGAATAGGAAAACTCCAACAACAAGTCCCAGAAGCACTTTATTAGAATTAAGATTGCTGGCACACTGCACTTACCCTATAATCCTTATGTATCACCTGTCACATCAGCACTTTTAATCTTGTACCCATTACTCTGACCCGGCCCAGTTTTATTGTGTCTTGGTGTATTGTTTTATTGTTTGTTGTTTAATATTGCTTTAACTGTTTTTAATTTGCTTTAGGTGTTGTATTGTTATGTTGTGTTTTGAGGCCTTGGCCTTTGTAAGCCGCGAGTCCTTCGGGAGATGCTAGCGGGGTACAAATAAAGATAATAATAATAATAATAATAATAATAATAATAATAATAATATGGTATTATAATTATGTATTTTGTATTACATGTAATATTACTAATAATATTACAATATAATGGTATAGTACAATGTAGTAATATATAATACTGATATTGTACTATGCTAATAATATAATATATTGTATGTATATATTGTAAGCCGCTCTGGGTCCCCTTCGGGTTGAGAAGGGCGGCATATAAATGTCATAAATAAATAAATAATACTAATAATCTATATAAATAAAAATGTAATGTTTGTTTGTGGGATTGACGTAACTAAAAACCACTAGTCAAATTGACATCAAATTTGGACACAAGATACTATCAGGCCAATGAGTGACTGTCACTCATAAAACACTAAAAAAACACAGCAGAAGGGACTTAAAAAGCCAAAAAAAAGCAAAAAGACTGTACAGCACATGCGCATAAATGACTCCACCTGGCAAACAAAACACACAATAGCATATCCTCACTCTCTTCCAGACTACAGCTCCCATACCCCTTTAGGAGAGGAGTATGATCCAAATGCACTGCTTCCAAGATGCAAGCATTTTTCTCCTTGGATTTCTATGAGAGCATCCCAATCCCTGCGTATTTCCAATTTCCTATTTCTGGATTGCAACTCTCAGCAATCCTCCAGATAGATAAGATAGATTAGATAGAGATAAGTAGGTATATAGATAAATTAGGAGGACTGCTGGAAGTTGCAGTCCAAGAATAGGTAGAGAAGGGAGAAAGGGGGAGGGAAAGAAAAGTGAAAGAAGGGAATAGGAAGAGAAAGAAGGAAGGAGAAAAGGAAAGAAAAAAGGTAAAGAAAAAAGGAAAGAGTGAGGGAAAGAAGGAGAGAAAGAAAGAAGACAAAGAAGGAGGGAAGGTTGGCCACAGCAACGTGTGGCGGGTACAGCTAGTGTATAATTAAGTGGACAGTGACAATAATAATGTTGACAATGGCTTGGAAATGGATTATGGATACATTTGATGGAGCATCCAACCACAGTTTTCAGGTAATAATGGCCACCAGAGTGGTAATTCTTAGTAGATTTTAATTGTATTGTTTTTAACTATTTATAATTATTGACTGCTTTTATTATATTGAGGCATCGAATTGCTGCCAATTGGAAGCCACCCTGAGTCCCCCCCCAAGGGGTTGAGAAGGGCGGAGTACAAATATTCAAAATAATAAATAAATAAATAAATAAATAAAATAAATAATAATAATAATACATCCTGTTGTTTCAGCCCTGTTGTTCTTAAGTAGGAGTTGTTTGTAAGTTGGATGTTTGTAATTTGGGGATGGCCTGTATATATGTAAAATAATAATATAATACAAATAATATATAATATAGCAATATAGTATAATAATAGCGATGCTAATAATAATAATTATCTATCTATATATTAATGCGCTGTGCATAATGAGTACCTTAAAAACAAAAGAACCAATGAATGAAATCACACCAAATTTGGTAACAAAACATCTCACAACACAAGGAGTGACCATCACTCAAAAAAGTATGATTTTTTTCATTTGGGAGTTGTAGTTGCTGGGATTTATAGTTCACCTATAATAATCAAACAGCATTCTGAACTCCACCAATGATGCAATTGAACCAAACTTGGCACACAGGACTCCCCTGACCAACAGAAAACACTAGAATGGTTTGGTGGGCATTGACCTTGAGTTTGGGAGTTGTAGTTCACCTACATCCAGAGATCACTGTGGACTCAAACAATGATGGATCTGGACCAATCTTGGCACGAATATTCAATATTACCAAATATAAACACAGATGGAGTTTGGGGGAAATAGAACTTGACATTTGGAGTTGTAGTTATTGGGATTTATAGTTCACCTACCATCAAGGAGCATTCTGAACCCCACCAATGGCAGAATTGGGGCAAACTTCCCACACAGAACCCTCATGACCAACAGAAAATACTGTGTTTTCTGCTGGACTTTGGCAACCCTTCTGACACACCCTCGTAACCCCCACCCCCAGGGGTCCCAAACCTCAGGTTGAGAAATGCTGCCTTAAGGCCATCCAGTCCAACTCCCTTCATCAGGGCAAGAAAACATAAAGCCCTCCTGACAAAGAGCCATCCAGCCATAGATATCGATAAATATATATGATTCACACACACACACACATGTTACGACAGATATAGTGCCATAGATTTGAAAGGGACTGCTAAAGAAGGACAGTTATAAGTTGCTGTTCCAGACTAGGCAAACCAGACAAAAATGGTGACATCATAACTCAAAATCCACTGGAGGAATTGCCACTAAATTTGGCCACAAGTCTCCTACTAACCCAAGGAGTCACCATAACTTAAAAACATCCCACACAGAACCCCCATGACCAACAGAAAATACTGTGTTTTCTGGTGACCCTTTTGACAGCCTTCTGGTGACCTCCCAGAAACCATGTTGGGGTTTAGAGATGAGCGCGATGAGGGGTCTTGCCTTCCCAGGTTGAGAAATGCTGCCGTAAGGCCATCCAGTCCAACTCTCTTCACCAGGGCAAGAAAACATAATCAAAGCCCTCCTGACAAAGGGCCATCCAGACATTCACACACACCCATATATGTATATTTATTTATTTATTTTTCATGTCAGGACAACCAGTCAAATTATATTACATTTCTAACAGAACAAAGCAAACAAACAGACAAAATACAAAATTTGTGAGTTTGGTAGTTGATTAAATGTCCTTTGACCAGTATCTGGCCACTTGGAGTGCTTCTGTTGTTGCTGCAAGAAGGTCCTCCATTGTGCATGTCGCAGGGCTCAGGTTGCATTGCAGCAGGTGGTCAGTGGTTTGCTCTTTTCTCCCATGTCGAGGATTCCACTTTGTAGCCCCATTTCTGAAGGTTGGCTCTGCATCTCGTGGTGCCAGAGCGCAGTATGTTCAGCGCCTTCCAAGTCGCCCAGTCCTCTGTGTGCCCAGGGGGGAGTCTCTCATTTGGTATCAGCCATTGGTTGAGGTTCTGGGTTTGAGCCTGCCACTTTTGGACTCTCGCTTGCTGAGGTGTTCCAGCGAGTGTCTCTGTAGATCTTAGAAAACTATGTCTAGATTTAAGTTGTTGACATGCTGGCTGATACCCAAACATGGGATGAGCTGGAGATGTCTCTGCCTTGGTCCTTTCACTATTGGCTGCTACTTCCCGGCGGATGTCAGATGGTGCAATACCGGCTAAGCAGTGTAATTTCTCCAGTGGTGTAGGGTGCAGACACCCTGTGATAATGCGGCATGTCTCATTAAGAGCCACATCCACTGTTTTAGTGTTTCTGGTTGTGATCCCCAGGTTGTGCCAGTCAGCTTTCATATGATATTGTTTCTAGCACCCACTTTTTGCTTAATGTTCAGGCAGTGCTTCTTGTAGGTAAGAGCACGGTCCAGAGTGACTCCCAGGTATTTGGGTGCGCTGCAATGCTCCAGTGGGATTCCTTCCCAGGTCATCCTCAGAGCTCGGGATGCTTGTCTGTTCTTAAGGTGAAAAGCACATGTCTGTGTTTTAGATGGATTAGGAATCAGCTGGTTTTCCCTGTAATAGGCAGTAAGAGCACCTAGAGCTTTGGAGAGCTTCTGTTCTACCATCTCAAAGCTCCCTGCTTGAGCAGTAATGGCACGATCATCAGCATAAATGAAACTCTATGGCAGTGGCTGGTCATATATGTATATGACAGATGCAGTATCAAAGATTTGAAAGGGACCCCTAAAGAAGGGCAATGATATGTTGCGTGTTCCAGAGTAGGCAAACCAGACAATCTCCACATCAACACTGCCAAAGAAACAGCAAGAAGTACTGTTTATCCACAAGCATCATAACATTACATCTATTAGAAACCAACACTTTCTCATTACTTTATTTTCCAGATCACCACACTGGGCCACAGCAACGCGTGGCAGCGGACTGCTAGTATATAATAAAGCTAATAACAAAACTGTCCCCCTCTCCCCCCAGCGGTGGCGTCATGATCTACATCGACCGCATCGAGGTAGTGAACATGCTCTCCGCTCATGCAGGTACCGCAGTATCCCAACGGGCTGCATCTTTTGCTTCAGGAGAGGGAGGGGGTGCTTGGGAGACGGCTGGCTCCGTCCGCCTCAGTGAAGGGGCTGGCTCCGTCCGCAGTGTACGACGTGGTGAGGAACTTCACTGCGGATTACGACAAGGCCCTCATCTTCAACAAGATCCACCATGAGCTCAACCAGTTCTGCAGCGCCCACACCCTGCAGGAGGTCTACATCGAATTCTTTGGTGAGCACTGTAGGAGGGCCGGGATGTGGGAGGCCCTCCTTGAGGTCGTACAGCCCCTCCCCCACGTGCAAGCACACTTTTGAGAGCAGGAAGGGGTCCTTGAGGTCATACAGCCGGCTCTTCCTCCCTCCCTTCCTACTTCAGATCGGATTGATGAGTACCTGAAGCAGGCGCTGCAAGAAGACCTCAATGTCATGGCTCCGGGACTCACCATCCAGGTAGGGCAGGCGCTGCAAGCAGGTTGCCCCCACCCCCAGCGGCCCCTCTACCAATCATTTCAGACTTGATCCTATGGATGCTGTAAAAGGGTGAATCAGTGAGCCAAGAGGGTTTTAAATATCTTTGTCACCAAAAATGGGAAGAACTTATTAGGCAGGGAAGGTTTATTTCTGCTGCCACCTTTTATGTTCAGGAGCCTTGCTGTATTTATGTTGGGGTTTAGAGATGAGAGCGAGGCTTTGCATAAGATGAAACAATAACTGTTCGTTTATTTGTCTCTTTTGAGGTACATAAGCGTGATGGTTTCAATAATATATTGTAAAGGAGCGTAAAATTACTGCCACCAAATTTGTGAGGAAAGCCGGGCAATGATCAATATCAGCTTAGGAGCTGGTTTATAAAGGGACTATTATTTACAGAAGTATTTATTTATTTGATAGCGTAGCTCTAATTTGATTCTTGATTTGACCTTTCTTCTTTTGTAGGCTGTTTGACTTAGGAGAAATTGTATCAGGCAAGGCTTGAGGAAAACAGTAACACATTTATTTAACAGGAGTATAACAGATTCAATTGTTACTTCTCTAGAGGCACAAACTTAGTTAGTTACATTGATAAGGTTTCCTGAATAACTTTAGGTACTAAACAGACTTCAAAAGGTTTCTTTGAGTAGATATATCTTTCTTCAACAAGCGTTCTTTTACTACAAATAAGCCACCTGACTTATCTAACTATATTGGCTCATAGCCAAACCTTGATTCTTAACCCAGAATCAATCACCCCTGTAGCTCTATCACTACCGGGTCCTTTCTTGTAACCCTTTTGGTCACAAATTAGTTCCCTGAATCTCCACCCAGAGATTTCAGTCTTCTCTGTAACTCTAACAGTCACAGACGCTTCCCTGTTTCTCCCACTAGAGAAATCAGTCCTTTCTGCAACTCTAATGGTCACAGACTAGTTCCCTGAATCTCCCACCAGAGATTTCAGTCTTCCCTGTAACTCTAACGGTCACAGACTGCCTATTTCAAACAGCCGTGCAGCTAGGTGACAGTTGGCTCCACCCCCGTTGCTATGGCAACTCAGGCCAAGCCAGCCACCATCTCTAACAAAATATAATTCTACATACTTACCATTTATTAACTACTGTTTAAACAACACATAACCATAGGAATAAAAATACACATTGTCACATATATATACAGTACAGATGCTTGGTGGGTACAATGAGGGTTATTGAGTAGTCTCTTATGAAGATGTTACTTTAAAAAGAATAGTTTCTGTGTGACTTTCGTTTATGTATTTCTCCAGCCTTATTTATTTATTTCCAACATTTCTGTGCTGCCCTTCTCACCCCAACGGGGACTCAGAGCAGCTTACAAGTTATATGTAAATACAATATATTATATTATTAGCATAGCACAATATTAGTTACATTCCCATATTGTACTACACCAGTATACAGTAATATTATTAGTAATATTACATGTAATAATAGAGGGGATTTGGTTTTAAAAAGGGAATTTTCAGAGATGTTCCCAATGCCCATATATCATGAGTTACTGCCATATTGGCCTACTTCTGCAGTAGGCCTATGTTTACAGAAAATGCTGATTGTTTGAGAAATCATTGCTCCAAAGAAGAAGTTACTATTCAAGGATAACAGTATATCTGGACAAAACCAGCTAGCTGATGGCTAGTTAGAACCCCCAAGTTTCCCAGTCGCTCTGAAGCCATGTTTGCAACAGACTAACTGATAAGATACAGTCATGGTCAGAAAACAATGGACCATAGTTGTGCCATAGTTGTGCCATCCCACGTGTGCTATAATGTCAATCAACATCATAAACAACAAATGAACAATTGCATAGCTAGCTTAGAGCAATGAAATGATTTGTCTTTGGGAACCAATGAAAATGTATATTCCATTTACTATAAATGCTCTGCAGCCCCATTGGGGGTTGCGACAAACCCTTTGATTGCATCCCTGTATGCTTGTTTGTCATTTTTGCTATGGCCACGCAATAAATAGTTTTTTTGCAGTTTAAAAGATTCAATTTTCGTGATGTCCATCCTTGCCCTCCCTATTAGAAAAGGGGCTTCTGCCTTTTTGGGAAAGATTTTGGTTTCTTTGCCCCTACAAAATGAAATTTATAATTATTCTATTGTAATATTGTTATTATTATTATTATATTGTATTGCAGTATAATATTATTATCAATATTATATGTGTATACAATAAATATATTGTATACACATATAATATTGATAATAATATTATAATGCAAAAAGGCTTTTACAATATTACTCCTAAAAACTGAATTCTAAAAACCAACACTCCTTAACCGGATGCTAAAATCCTGGCTACTCTGCACTTTTAAACCTCTCTACAACTATGGTGGAGGCTCCTTCTGGTTGGCCATCTGGTTGAGTGCTTTGAATGCAATTTTCCTGCTTCTTGACAGAATGAGGTTGGACTGGATGGTCCACAAGGTCTCTTCCAACTCTAGACTTGTATGATTCTATGACGGTGCTCTCCAAGCTCCTTGATTCCATTGAACTGCACTAGCTAGCTACCCTAGCTAACTGGAAAATATTGTTCAGTTAGCCTCCTCTAACTGCCATTCTTGACTCCGCCCATCTCTCGTGCCTTAGCACCTGCTAATTTACATCTGGCCAATCAGGCCACTCCTATGCAAATAGCTCCTTCCTTCCTTCCTTCCTTCCTTCCTTCCTTCCTTCCTTCCTTCCTTCTTTACCTCTTTCCTGCCTTTCCTACCCTTTTACTTTCCTTTCTACTTTCTTGTCTTCCTTCCTTCGGTACTTCTTTCTTTCCTTCCTTCTCTCCTTCCTTCCCTCTTTCCTTCCCTCCCTTTCCTTCCTTCCCCCTTTCCCTCCTTCATTCCTTCCCTTTTCCCTCCCTCCTTTCTTTTCTCCTTCCTTCCTGTCTGTTTTCCTCCAATACCATGGTAGAGTCCTTTCTAACTGTATTCTATGAGTCTGTTTAATATAGTAATATATATAACAATAATATATGTACTGTTATTTCTACTGTTTTGTTGGAAACCGCCTTGAGTCGCCAAAAGGCTGAGAAAGGCGGTATATAAATACAGTAAGTAGGTAAGTAAATAAATAAATAATATATATATATATATATATATATATTATATAGCAATAAATATAATAGTAATATATAAAGTATTTTATATCCACACCAACCAATGATCCAACATCCATCCATGTGTGTGTGCGCACGTGTGCATGTGTCTACACTGCCATATAATCCAGTCCTAAGTAGATAATCTGGATTTTASATGGCAGTGTGGAAGGGTGACACTGTAGATTTAATAAAGGAGGATGAAGCAGTGAGGGGAGGAGAAAAAGCAAGGAAAGAAAGGGAGGGAGGGAAGGAAGGAAGGAAGGAAGGAAGGAAAGAAAGGAAGGGAGGAGTGATAGAGAAAAGGAAAGGAAGGAGGAAAGGGAAGGAGGAAAGAAGTAAAGGAAGGAGAAAAAMGGGAAGCAGAGAAAGGGAGAAGGGAAGGAGGGAGGAAAGGAGGGGGTTGGACTGGATGGCCTTTAGGGCTCCCTTCCAACTGGTTGGCCATCTGTTGTGAGGGCATTGATGGTGTCTTCCATTACTGCCATTTTTATTGTTGTGTCAGGAGCGACTTGGGAAACTGCAAGTCACTTCTRGTGTGAGAGAATTGGCCATCTGCAAGGACGTTGCCCAGGGGATGCGCAGATGTTTTGATGTTTTATCATCCTTGTGGGGGGCTTCTCTCATGCCCATGCATGAGGAGCTGGAGCTCTCTGCGGATTCAAACCTGTGACCAGGGGCGGCTCATCTATTACGCGAAGTAAGCGGTCGCAGAACACTTTTTTTTTGCCAGGGGCGCAGAGGCACCTCTGTAAATGCCCCTCGACCGCCACTTGAGGAGCCCCCCCTCAGCTCACAACAGCCCTAGCAGTCCGGGGGGAGCCTCGGCTTTCTTGCCTCGCTGCCGGGTGATCCTCTTCCCAAAGGGGCCGGGCCCTTGAGCCTCGCCTCGCCCCTCTCGTTCCTGCTCCACCCGGCCACCGGGTGCGCGAGCAGAGCCGGCGCTCAATCGTTCTCCACGTTCGATCCCTTCCCCATGACCGGCTCCCTTTCCCAATCCCCCGGCGCTCCACCCGCCTCCTCTCCTCTCCCCAATCCACGGGTGGGCCAAGGGGCGGAGCCGCCGTGCCTGGCCTGCTTTGGGTCCGGAGGCGTGTCTGAAGACCCCAGCGTGCGCACCAAAAGTCGCCTCTTCTCCTGACTTTCTCTTCAGCCATTGGGACCAAGAGAGAGAGAGAGAGAGAGCCCCTCCGGCTGGAGGTATCTCCCACCTCTGCTCCCTCCTTTGTTTTTGCGCCTACCTTCAGGAAAGGTGGGCATCTCCCCTCTTCTCTCTCTCTCTCTTGGTCCCAATGGCTGAGGAGAAAGTCAGGAGAAGAGGTGACTTTTGGTGCACACTCCGGGGTCTTCAGGCACGCCTCCGGACCCAAAGCGGGCCAGGCAAGGGAGCAAGTGCGGCAAGTGTAGTTACTGGGATGTATAGTTCACCTACAATCAAAGAGCATTCTGAACTCCACCAATGATGGAATTGAACCAAATATGGCACACAGAACTCCCACGACAAACAGAAAATATATATCCGTGATTGGTTGGGGGGGGGGGGGGCGCCAAAATACTGTTTGCTTATCGTTGAAAATTACCTAGAGCCGCCTCTGCCTGTGACCTGTTGGTCTGCGCCACTGTGGGCTCCTACTGCCAAATGATGTTGGGCTGGATGGTCTTTGGGGCTCCTTTCCAAGCAATGTCAGTTTCGTGTGTCCCTATTACTCCCATCATGGCACCTTCTTCCTTCCCTTGTGGGAGTGTGTGTGTGGGAGACAGAGAGTCAGAGTGTGTGCACACAGTGTGGCCTGCCTCCTTTTTTCCTTTCCTCTCGCTCTCTTCTCCTCCTCCTCTTCCTCCTCCACATCCTCCTTCGCTTCTGCCCTTTGATCCCTTGCCTTAGTGTTAGTTAGGGGCCAAGAGACATACACGGAGGAGCAGCCATTGCCACTGCCACTGCTTCGGAGCCCTCCTCCTCCTCCTCCTCCTTTTGACACCGCAGCATATGAGCCATCCTGATGCCGCTCTCCATCACCCATTAGGCCCTTTCTCCTTCTCCCACCTTACCTTCCAAGGACTGTGAAGGCAAAGGGGAAGGGGAAGTAAGGTGGCCTTGCTGGCTGTGTCCTCAGCATTGGAGGGGGGGGGGGCAGGGGAGGTGTGTTGTTTTCTTCCTTTTTTGAATTTAAAGGTGTTTTGTGGGTTTTTTCAGTAATGGTCACTCCTTGGATTGTGAGTTTTGTTGCCAAATTTGGGGTCATTTTACCCTGTTGTTTTATTTTGTTTTTAAGGTACTTATTACGCACAGAGCATTTTTATATATATAGATATGTTTACACAATATATTATATTATTAACATAACACAGGAGACAAGGTGGAACTGTCCCCTGCCCCCCCCCCCTTCAGTCTGGCCCAGAGCAGCAGTTGGTGCTGGAGGGAGGGGCACCCATCTGATGACATATGCAGGGGATAAGATGGAACTGTCCCCTGGCCCCCTCTTCCCTTTTAACATTTTGGAAAAAAAGTCAAGACATGGCTTTTTGAGGAAGAGTTTGTAAATGCAGAGTAAATGACATTTATTTGTCGTGTCAGGGTAACCAGTCAATTGTATTATATTTCTAACAGAACAAAACAAACAAACAAACACACAAATTTTGCAAACTTGGTAGTTGATTAAATGTCCTTTGACCAGTATCTGGCCACTTGGAGTGCCTCTGGTGTTGCCGCAAGAAGGTCCTCCATTGTGCATGTGGCAGGGCTCAGGTTGCATTGCAGCAGGTGGTCAGTGGTTTGCTCTTCTCCACACTCGCATGTCGTGGATTCCACTTTGTGGCCCCATTTCTTAAGGTTGGCTCTGCATCTCGTGGTGCCAGAGCGCAGTCTGTTCAGCGCCTTCCAAGTCGCACAGTCTTCTGTGTGCCCAGGGGGGAGTCTCTCATTTGGTATCAGCCATTGGTTGAGGTTCTGGGTTTGAGCCTGCCACTTTTGGACTCTCGCTTGCTGAGGTGTTCCAGCGAGTGTCTCTGTAGATCTTAGAAAAACTATGTCTTGATTTAAGTCGTTGACATGCTGGCCGATACCCAAACAGGGGATGAGCTGGAGATGTCTCTGCCTTGGTCCTTTCACTATTGGCTGCTACTTCCCGGCGGATGTCAGGTGGTGCAATACCGGCTAAACAGTGTAATTTCTCCAGTGGTGTAGGGCGCAGACACCCCGTGATAATGCGGCATGTCTCATTAAGAAATAATTGACATAGGACAACGGAACAACTAGACAATAAGACCGGACAATGTTTTTAACAAGGAGACATTATGGATTTATATTTTATTGATTCTGTTTAGTTTTATTATATGTAATGCATTAATTGCATTTATGATATTGTAAGTATTGAATTTTACCCTGTAAACCGCCATGAGTCGCCTACGGGCTTAGAAAGGTGGTATACAAATACAGTAAATAAATAAATAAATAATCCAGATCTGAGCAGTGGCAGGACCCCATTTCCAGGAAGAGGGGCTGGTCGCAAGGGGGGCAGTCAGGCCTTTGGCCCTTGAGAGAAAGGCCCCCAGGGTGGCCGGTGACCTCCTCTCCCTTGCAGGCTGTGCGTGTGACCAAGCCCAAGATCCCCGAGGCCATCCGGAGGAATTTTGAACTCGTGTGAGTGTTGCGGAGGTGGCGGTGGGAGCAGGGGGAGCAACGGGGGTAGAGTTTCCCTCTGGCCACTCCACCCTTTCATCCCATTGTTTATGTCACTGGGGATGGAGCATGGAGGGGGGGCACACGGTGGGGGGGTGCTGATGGAAAGTGCCAGGGAGGGAGCAGTGGATGGTGGATGGGAGGCCATGCCCAGTGCCAGGGGAGCCGCAATCCTAGGCCCTCCCTCAGTTGTTCTGGGGATGGCGGGGTGGATGCTGCAAGGCACCCCTCCTCAGTGGCTACAGCACAAGAGCCTCGAAACAGAAAAGGGGTCTGGGTGTGCGTGCATGTAGGGGTGGGGAGCTTTCACACTGACCTCATATCCCAGGATCTGATCTCAGATTATCTGGCTGTGGAGACTGTGTCAGGAAGTGGTGGTAGTAGTGTCTTTCTTTGCTGCAGAGATACGAGCAGTATATCCATTTCAAAGCAAGCCTGCTTGTGAATGGTTATTTACTATTGCTATTTAGGTCCTACAGTCTGACAGACTCTGCTTTTTCTCTGCAGGGAGGCGGAGAAAACAAAACTCCTGATTGCGGCCCAGAAGCAGAAAGTGGTGGAGAAGGAAGCCGAGACGGAGCGGCGGAAGGCTGTCATAGGTAGGCCGTCATAGGTGGGCCCAGTGTCTTTCTATGAGCCCCTCTGGCCACGAGGCCCCACTTGGCCAGGTTCAACAGCCCTTCTTGGCTTCGTGTGGCTTTTCTCCCTCCAGACGCTGAAAAGGCAGCGCAAGTGTCCAAGATCCAGTTTAGGCAAAAAGTCATGAAGTCTGTGACGGAGAAGCACATCTCCGAACTGGAAGGTAGGCCAGTGCAATTGGGACTGGTGTTGTGTTCTTCTGGCTGCAGGAGGAGGAGGGAAACCATGGCTCTCTATTCCACTTTGGTTAGATCTGTTTATCTGGAATCACACTGTGTCCAATTCTGGGCCAAGCAAGTAAAAAGGGATATTAATAATAAATATTACATTAAATATAATAATAATAATAATAATGATAATGATATAATTATATCTAAATATAATAATAATTGTAAATATATTAATAATAAATGTTATAATAACACTATATAATAATATAACTAGGTAAAAAATATATAATATTACTATAATAATTATAATAATTGTAATAATAGTACTGACTCTGAGTTAGAAGGTCTCCAGAGGAAGATGGCAAATAAAGGATGAATAATCCCTGTGAGGAGCATCTTAAAGAGCTGAGTGTGTTTAGCCTGCAGAAGAGAAGGTTGAGAGGAAACGTGAAAGGAGCCATGGATCAATAAGTGAAAGGGTGTCCGAAGGAAGAGGGAAGGGGCTTCTTTTCTGCTGCCCTAGGACTGGGACTCAGTGGAGTCAAGGGCTGAAATGACAGGAAAGGAGATTCCTGTCCTTTCCTAACATTATTAGGAAGAACTTCCTGACTATAACAAGAGCTGTTCAGCAGTGGAACTCTGCATCAAAGTCCAGTGGAAGCTCCTTCCTTGGAGGCTTTGAAACAAAGGGTGGATGGTTCATGGCAGAAAGAAGAGGGTTGGACTAGATTACCTTTGGGGGTCTCCTTCAATTATTTTATTGCTGGAAAAGAGGTTGGATCTGCTTGGGGGGCTTGGGATTGGGGATGAAGCCTATTCGCACATATACAGTGCCCTTGCAACTCGTCTTTCCCACCTTTTCTAGATGCAGCTTTCTTGGCGAGAGCAAAGGCAAAGGCGGATGCGGAATATTACACGGCGCAGAAGGCGGCCCAATCAAACAAAGTGAGTGCTTCTAGGATGTCCCGGGGTGGGGGGGGGGGTGGGGGGGGGGGTGGTGGTGTTAGAAGTAGTAAAACACACACAATGACCCTGCTCACAGCCTCCTCCAGCTGCACAATGGGATGGACTGCCTCCAAGGCAAACAGCTACGTTTTGACCTCCAAAACACTGCAGAGTCTTGGTCACCATTACCAGAGATTTAATAGCACAGACAGCCCTAACATTGTATAGTAGAAGAGAAGGAGAGTAAATACACACAACACCCTGCCCTTCTCCACCTGCGCAATGGGATAGACTGTCTCTTGGACAAGCAGTTACGTTCCAATCCAAAAGCACATTGCAGAGTCTTGGTAACAGTCAGCATAGATTTAATAGCCCGGCCTCTGACCTTGAATAAGCACCCTTGAGCTCCAAACTCCTTTGGAGGTTGATTAATAATAATAACAATAATAATAATATTCCACTCTATCACCCCAAGGGGACTTAGAACGTATTACAGGATATATATGGCAAACATTCGATGCCATCATACAGTTGACAGAGACAGACAATACATAAACAGAGGCAAGCTTCCTTCTTTCATTTCTGGCATATGGAGACAATGCTTTACTCGACCATGGGGAGGTGCTGCTGTTCCATTTTTCCACGCCGTGGAGCCTGTCGCTTGAATTGCCGGCATGTTTTTTCAGGGGCGCCTTTTACCTCCCTGCTAGAGCGGTACCTATTTATTTACTCACCTTGCTGTTTTCGAACTGCTAGATAGGCAGAAGCTAGGCTGATGACAGGAACTCACCCTCCCGTAGCTTGAACTGTCAATCTTCCGGTTGGAAAGATTTTTTGTGGTTAACCCTTCTGTGCTAGCCACAGCCTTCTTCAGTCACTGCTACTTATAACTATTGATAGGTCTCCTATCAGTGTACACACAGAGATACTCTGTTCTCAATATGCAGAGATACACACAACCAAAGCAAGAAACTCACAGGACGAGGATGGTGATGGATTATAAATGCAGTCAAGGAGGCAAAGATGGCAGAGAGCAAGCACATGGCAGAGAGGAAGTGCACACGCAAGCCACCCCAGGGATCACAGAAAATGACTCGGCTGTCCCTCTAGGATCACATTGTTGCACTCCAGGACAGGAAAAGCCATCTGACTTTAAACACCACACCATTGAACAGGAAAACAATCCTTTTGTTGAAGATAATTAAAAAGCAGTAAAGTAAAACCACTTTAAAGAAATAGGTAAATGCAATTAGGTAGGAAGATAAGCAGGAACAAATTAGTCTAGGGTAATAGTCCAGCAAAGTCCATGAAACAAAGGCAAAACTTCTCTAATAAAATCAGGAAACATGAACCCAAGGCATGAATATAAAATCATAGAATCCAAGAATCAAAACCATAAAACAAAAGGTACTTAAACATGAATCTTCCAAGCAAGGTTTCCATCAAACAAGGATGAGATCCTGACTTGATTTGAAACAATGCTTCATCTGACTACATTATCTGTACTTGGAACTTTTATCCCCTCGTTAAGCTATCCCGAGCACTCAGAAATTGGTTTCGCTTTAACTGAGATACCCTTATCTTCTTCTGTCTGAGCCTGGCAGAACATCGAAGCCACTGTTCGGCTTTTTTGTTTTGACTAATCTCTTCCCGTCTATCTATTTGCTCATTAATTTCTGCAGTTGGGCCAGGTGCCGAGCTGTTTTCAAACCCCAAATCATGAGAACTCTCTGGTAACCATTAAGGGAGCAGACCATCATCCCCACACCCTTCAGGGACATTCTCATGGGAAACTACACTTTGAACAGGAATTTCCTGGTCATTCTCTTTATCAATATCATTCACCATCTTGAAAGTCATTGACATCACTCCCCACATCCAAAGCACCAAAGCACAATCACAGGCTGAGCTCCAACACACATCTGCACTTTCTTAACCCTTTCAGTGGACTTTGCTGTGAAGACATTAGAACTGTATTTTCCCCCATCCGTGTCCTGATTTTCCCTTTAAGAACAGCCTTAATACCACACTGAAAGTAAATGAAAAATGCCTTACTGTAGCAAACACAAAAAATAGCACACTCAGTTGAAAAATGCAAAAGAAAACAAGGAAGTCTTAATGCAGACACAATACTCAAGTCTCTGATAAAGTCCAAAATAAACAGCAGTCTTACATCAAACAACGGGCAATGATCACTAAATCCTTAGAAGCAGACTTGAAGCAGGTACAATTGGAGTGAAGGTGTAAGCATCAGAGTCGTTTGTTACCAGCGAAAGCTAACTGCTCCTGCTTCTGATTTATAGCCCTGAATTCCCCACACAGGAGGTGCTAGGGCGGCTCCCAATTACCTCAATGTTACTAGCAGCTATTCTAGCTGAACGCCGTCTGTGCCCTGTTTCTTTTCACCTTTCCAGAAATGTGGGCACTTGCAAGACCTCGTCCTCTGATTCCAATTCCCCCTCTAATGTCATGAATGACTTTTCAATAACTTTAAAGCATAGGTTCTTTTTATTGCAATTTCCAGTGTGAGAGGGTATATCAGATTACAGAAAAACATTTAGACATACAGACATACAGATTCTATGCAACTATATTGGATATACAACTTACAGTTACATTGGACTAACAAACAGACAAAAGGGGAATTACATTTTCACTCAGCATTCACACACATGTACATGCATTCATCCTCATGCACCCAAATATTATTATATCCTTTTCTCCCTCCTTGGAGAAGCACCTGTTAGACTCTGCTTTCCTGCAACCTGCCAACACGTAGTTCCTAAACTTCCATAACGTCATAACTTCAAAATGCCAAAATTCATCCTTTCCCTAAGCACAATGCCAAGGACCAGATCTGCATTTTCCATACAGCAGAACCTGACACCCTGCACAAAATCTAAGACTCCAAAACACACTTCTCAGGTCTGCCACACTTTGGGCATTATTAGATTGAGTCTTTTATAGGAATATTCAGCTGATGTGGTCCCAAAGTTGTAAATTAATGATAGACATCTTCCATCCTGGCTCCATCTCAGTTTCCTGGCCAGATGTTGACTCTTCTTGATTGGTGTTGACAAACACAAGGCTTGTGTTGACTTCCTTCTTAACATAAGGAAGGTTGCAAACATTTCCTTAACTTGAAAGAACAATTGTCACAGTCCTTATCACACTTTACTTTTTCAGTTCTCATTAGCAACTTTTAATTACATCCAGCAAGCAGGTAGTTAATCATTGCAGGCCTTAATATTATACTGGTGTCTCCAAAATTATTAACTCCGCTCATACTGATATCGAGCTAGAATTTGGAGGCTCCTGCCCAGGAGAGAGGAGCCCTTAGACCCACCAAAGAGAGCCCAAAACCCTTGGCAAGCAAAAGAGGAGAAAGCCCCAGAATTTTCCCTGATTTTTCCCAAATAAATCTCACCAAGGTTGAAGAAAAGCCATCGAGGTTTATTTAGCGATCCAGCTGAAAAGGATGCAGAGCTGCAATTATTCGCCAGCAGGGCATAAAGAAATACATTTGATACAGCCATATTTATAGTAAATTCAAAGTTGCAGAGTTCAAGCCTCCCTGCTGCCCTCCACTGTGATTGGACAATGGGCAAACAGCTGGGAGGTGGCCCTTCTGCCCCCAGCGCCCCTGGACCAATCAGGAAGCTCCAGCGGTCCGTAGGATCCAATGGGGAGGCTCCTACCATCTAGCGGCGATAGCAAATCAGGAAAGAGGGAGGCGGGATGAAAGGAATCTTGTGAATGAATTCTAAAAAAAAATGCCATGTGGCCTGCGAGACAAAAGGCGTCTCAAGCAAGCCTGATCTATTGTGTTTTGATTGGAATGAATCAACATGTGTAAAGGCAAGTCCGGATTTTACTAGCCAGCAAATATGGAGACAATGTAGGTGAAACTGGGGTGATTGTTTCTTTGTGGGAAGTTAGTTAAATCAACCAGTGCAAAGGTGGGGGCTTTTCGAGGGTCCCCTGACCTCCAGGTAGAAAAATGATTAGGGGTCTGCCAGGGGGCAAACAGCATTGTTGGGCAATCCTCCAAGAACAAAGCTGCCTGCCAGTTTATTGTTCATGCAAAGGAAATTGGGGATTGGGGTCTTTGGAATGTCTGGAGCTCTGCAGTTTCCGGGGTGGGGGGGATTTCTTCATAAGGAAAGGGAAGGAAAAAAGGTCAAGGGAAGGCCACTAGTACAAAGGAAAATATGAAAATATATACATTTGATGTAGCAGGAACCATGTGCCTATAATTCATAACAGGAAAAGTCCATATAAAAGTATGTTTTTGAAAGGGAAACAAAAGGGTTCATGGGGAATGATTAAAAGCATGACATTCATGAGAAAAGGTCCAAAAGGTTTCACTGAGCCAGTCAAGGAAGTCCCGCAGCGTTGAGGTTGAGACTTGTCCTTGGCCCTTTGCAGAACTATAAGTTATTATCTCTTATTGGGGAGGGGGGGGGCATGCTCGGCTTCAATACAATTTACATTCTTCCATTCATTCCCACACATCATATTAAATTCACATTTCTCAAATCTGCACATTAATTTTTTGTGACACTAATTCCTGTACACTTTCCTGCTCCCCTTCCTGTTCTGAAGATGAGGGATCCCTAACAATACTAAAAGCACATGCAATGCATTCCTGTCTTAACGCAGCATTTCCTTCCTGGCAGCTCAAGCTCACCCCGGCCTATCTGGCGCTGGTGCGGGACCGGGCCATTGCTGCCAACAGCCAGCTGTACTTTGGCCGCGGCCTCCCTGCCCACCTCTTCCTGGGCGCTTGTGCGTTCGAGGCCGTGGTTGCCCAGGAGGCCATGCGGAAGCAGGAAGTCATGGGGAAGCCCCACCTCCAGGCCCCGCCCACTCCGCGTGATTGACGTTCCCACCCTTGTTCGGAGGACAAACACTTCCTGTCGACAAGAGCCCAACCCATGCATTTCCATCGGCCTCGAAGGGGGAAGTATGGTGGCGGTGTCTCATGTGCCGCCCGCAGTGAGCCTCGACGAAACCCATTCCCTTTTCCCTTCAATCGGATTATTGTAAGGAAACAGGAGATCCCATTTCGTTTCATTCCTAACCAAGGTGATGAGTCAAAGGGATCTGCCACAAAGTTGAGTCAACTGGAATCTTAGCAACGTTGCTGCAAGAAACAATTTGCCTGCTGTGGGCTTTGGTATAAAAATGTGTGTTTTTGGGATCCCGGATATGCAAAACGTTGATCTTTGGAATTAAGAGAAATAAAAGAACTATTTTCATAGCCTTTTCCGCTAGCAGCTGCATCTTCTCTCTGCTGTTGGAGTCCCGGGACAATAATGTAATACTTCTGTAATATAATACTTAGGAATATTAATAATAGGAATAATAAAGGAATATAATAATAATAATGTACTACTAACCATAACAATATAGTAAAGGTAAAGGTTTTCCCCTGACATTAAGTCTAGTCATGTCCAACTCTGGGACTCTGGTGCTCATCTCCATTTTTAAGCCGAAGAGCCAGCGTTGTCCGTAGACAGCTCCAAGGTCATGTGGCCACTGGCAGGACTGCATGGAGCACCGTTACCTTCCTGCCGGAGCAGTACCTATTGATCTACTCACATTTGCATTAATACAGGAATACTATAATAATACACTGCTATTATTAGTATTATTACTATGCAGGAATAAAATAATAATGCAATGCTACTGCAATATAATAACATTGGAATAATAATAATAATAATTTGTTATTATTATTATTGTTGTTATACTATAGTAGGACTGGGTTGTGGCGCAGCTGGTTGGGAGTCAGCTGCATTAAAATTCTAGGTTAGCTGAAGCTGGGGCTAACTGTGGAAGTTCACGCCACTCCCCTGATTCAAACCTGCGAATTTTCAATCAGCAAGTTCAACAGCTCATCGGTTTAACCCACTTCGCCACCGGGGGCTCCTTACAATATACTAATATTAACAATGGATCTAATACAGGAATATAATAATAATAAATTACAGGAATATTAAGAATAGTAATAGTACAGAAATATAATAATGTATTTCTACTATAATATACCGTAATAATACAGGCGTATTAATAATACATCTAATACAGGAAAATAATAATGCAATATTACTGTAATATAATACATGAATATTAAGAATAATACAGGTACGCAATATTGCAATATTGCTATAATACAGGAAAATAAATAATACTAATAATGCAGGAATATTAGTAATGCAATACTGTTTATTAATTTTATTTATTTACAGTATTCATATTCCACCCTTCTCACCCCGCAGGGGATTCAGGGAAGATCACAATGCACATATACATGGAAAACATTCAATACTGCAGACACACAACATATATAGACAGACATAAAGAGACTATTTAACTTTCCAGCTTCATGAGAATATGCTTTGAATTACGGTCACCGGGGGAGCTGTCACTTCACTGTCCACTTGTGACACCGATGGAGTACTTCCTCATTCTTTTGCATGCTGCTGGAGCATTTTATGGCATCGTAAATTAGTTAAAGTAGCCTCTTCGCATAAGTGGTACCTAAATTTCCTACTTGACAGATGCAACTGTTTTTCAGGCTGCAAAGGTTGGCAGCAAGCTAGACAAATGGGACCCGGGGTTGGTTTCGAACTCATGACCTTCCAGTCAGTAGTGATTTTAATGCAGCTGACTCCCAACCAACTGTGCCACAATCTGGTCCTATTTATTTATATATTTTATTTACGACATTTATATGCCGCCCTTCTCACCCTGAAGGGGACTCAGAGCGGCTTACAAGATATATATACATACAATATATTATATTATTAGCATAGTATCAGTATTATATATTACTATATTGTACTATACCATTATATTGTAATATTACATTTAATATAAAATATATAATTATAATATATATTATTATTATATTATAGTATTATAATATAATAATAATAGTATAGTATAGACATTATTATATTATAGTATTGCATCAATATATTATAGTATTGCATCAATATTGTATTCCTGTGTTATTATAATTATTAATATTATAGTAGTAATATTGTATTCCTTTATTATTAATAATAATAATAATAATCCTGTATTGTTCTATCATAGTAGTACTGCATTATTAAGTATTATCATTGTTATAATAATCCTGTATTATTATTATTATTATTATTATTATTATTATTTCTGATAAGCTTGATTGTTCCTTGAAAAGGACCCACATCTTCAGAAATCAGTTTTCTCTCCCAATTCATTGAGTTTCACATGACATTAAACTGCAGGAATATCCAGAGACTTCCTCTACATATACTTTACTTAGACAATCCCTCGTTGTCTG